CCCGCCAAAAAAAAAAAAAAAAAAAAAAAAAAAAGTAACATGAAGCATAGCTTAATAGCTCATCGGTCCAAGTGAGCCAGACCTCCAAGGCGCTCCTAATCCCTGCTTCTCTTTTATTTGCATGGCCTGATCCTGCTGCTAAACTGGGCCGATGGCGAGGTTAAGGATCGAAGCAATTGCGTGATTAAAGGATGAGTTGGTGGTAGGATTCAGGGCTGAGGCGGCAATGGTGCCTAGGATTAAATTAATAGCTGGATTGCAGGCGACTGATGACACTCCCTCTATTTCGCGCCTTTCTGCTAAATCCAGGACAATGGGGCTTATATGAAGGGAGCTAGAGGGACTAGAAGTGGTCTAGCTACTGGGTACACTAGGCGTTGCGCGGCATACGGCCTACGGAGGACTGAGCACCGTGCTGCTTTAACGTGAACAAAATGCACAGAAGCCTGTTACAACTGATTTTTTTTGATCCTGTCCTTCTTTTTTGGATGACAGGGCCTTCAGGGTTTACTGACTCTGGCCTAGTCCAAGCAGCTCTTATTCATTTTATGAAAGTAAAGTTGGATGGATAGTTGCCTCCTTACCCATAATCCTTATGGGTACAATGTAACCCCCTTTAAAGCATAAATAGGGTTCCCTTATATGGCAATGGGAGGGAAGCAAGGCCCATGAAATTGTTCAAATAGTTCAGCAAGTAAAAAGGATGCCTGAAAACAGCATTGTGGGAAGGCAGCAGGTACCATATAAGTCATTTTGCTTCCTTCTGTATGGTCCTCCTGATTAGCAAATGCGTTTATGGAATCTCAAGGAAGTGGATGTCAGTGCGAAAGGTATCAATGCAGAGGGTGCCATTGCGAAAGATGCCAATACGGAGGATGACAAACAATAAAATGCTAAGAAGGGAGATGTAAATGCAAAAGATACCAATGCAGAAAATGTCAGTGCGGAAGATGTCAATGAGGAAGGCTTCCAGGAGAAGAATACAGGGATGGTACATATGGGTTGAGTGCATTGGCAAAGCTGCGTCAGAAGAGAAATGGCAAATAGGGCCTTCGCCGGTACTGAATGAATGTTCAGGCATTAACATCCACTTTTAGCCTACCTAGCCTTCACAGCCCTCCTTTCACGCTTGCTCAAACGCCAACCAAAACAAGTTCGGCCGCCATACTTGGTGGAACAAGGGAATTTACGGACCGAAGGATACCTACAGTGATGGCTGAGAAGAACTGAGAGCTTGCATAGGCAAGTGCATCTAATGAATCTCTAAAGGATGCTGTCATATGCCTGGAAGGGAAAAAGGAGAGACCCTTTCAAGAAAATTGAACAGGTCGCTGCTCCTGCCTCATTTTGGGTTCGGAGCTCTAGAGGCCGAGGTATGCGGGCAATGCTACTGGCGGGGAGGAACTACAAGACAGTAAGGGTCCTCATGGACCTTACTGCAGAGCTTTATAATGAATGCAAGGGAAGCGTTTCCGCCTGGCTTGCAAAGCAAAGAGGGACGGAATGGAGGCGTGAAAAAGCATATGGGGCATTGGTGTGCGAAAGGACTTTAAGGGAGCCCGGTTGAGAACAAAAAAAAAAAAAAAAAAAAAAAAAAAAGAGAGAGAAGAAAAGAGAAAGGAAGTATTCCACTGCACATGGCTTCGATGTGGCATGGCAAATTGCTGCTAGTCGTGTTCTTCTTTGTTAGGAAGTTGGACTGAGCGGAGTGTACCCTATTCATAATGAGCGGTAGACATACTGCTACCGCAAATCGATTTCACCGGCGAGTAGGTGGAATATTGGAAAGGGGGACTTGTGTTTAGTCAGTGGTTCATATATTTTTCCATTTCACTAATAAGGGAATGTTTGGCTCCCGACAACCAAGGCTATTCAAAAAATTAATGGGCTACTGATGCAGAAAGAAATTTAATTTCCTTTTAGCGACAAAAAACCACATCTATTCCGAATGCACTGCTCAATTGATTTTAGAGTCCTCGCCAGAAAGTCAGGGACACATATATTTGTCGCGTTTTTGAATTGAATAAAATACTTCCATTTTTAGACACAAAAACAACACGTACAAACTTAAAATTTTAATTTTTTCGTTTTCTGTTATCAACAAGACGCTCCTCCTCAGACTCGCATTCTTCAAAATTGAAGACGCTACCAATATCTTGACAAAGGTCCACTACCTCAGGCTCCAGGATAACAGCCTCGATGTGCTCTTGGTTCATTACTCTATCAAGTTCTGTATCCCACTCACTGCTGTCGACTATGATCATGTCGCCAAAATACTCAGTAATCTCCTCTTCATCAAAGACCTCTTGGTAAACCTCCCCGCTCATATTCTCTTGTACGCGACTCCTGTCATTATAGTATCTCATACCAATTTTTACAAACTTCTTCCATACAGAGTAAAAGACCGTGCTCGGAATCTGTGAAAACAACTTAAGTAGCCTTTTCTTCAGCAAAAAGGACGTCATTGTCATCCTTGCCCTTGAAGCAATTATGTTTTTCACAACAGTCCATATCTTTTCAATAGGTTGAAGCTCGCAATGATAGGGTGGAGTCTTGTAGATTTCATGGCCGCCGTTCTCCTGAGCAATCCTGCTGATAGAAAAGTACGACTCATCGGGAAGGGCACTAACCAAATTCATAAGGTCGACTTTATTCAATGGTTTTCCATTTTCATTTGTTGGAAGAACAATGTCCTTGCTCGCGAGCCATTCTTTGATTGTCTTCACAATGTCGCTCTTGGTCGGCTTTTTGTCTTTTCTGTGAAAATGGTATGAGGCGCTATCAAGGTGGATTTGGCAAGGCCCAAGGCCCATCTCATTAAGGTTCTTACAAAGTCGCCCGAAGATGTAGTAAACAACAAACGCCGCAAATGTAACCATTATCGGCTTCCTCCCTGCATCGTTTACGACGCCGCCACCACTTTTAACCCAACGTTTTATATATACCACCCAAGGCATTATTTGAGAATATACTATTGATATCAAAAGGCTCAAAAGACATTTTATCACTTGTACAATGAGAATGAGGAAGAGGAAGAGGAAGAGGTAAATGAGATCAAGAATGATGTCCATTCCGCTTCTAGCAAACACTTATTAATGTGATAGTCTAAAACGATAATTCAATTGATTTATTTGTCATGGCATCAATTCATCCTCTATTATTCAATAAATATATGAAATCCCAACTTCGTACGTAAATTTTTTATTTTTCGAATTTTAATTCAAATTGAGCATTTTAAAAAATAGATGTGTCCCTGACTTTCTGGCGAGGACTCTACAATCCAAAGCTTCAAGGGGTTACAACGATTTAAATTCTGACATTCTAGGCACCCAACTTCATTCTCTGTCACATGAATTTAACTGGTTGCACCATGCAAGTCAAGCTATATTGGTCTCGCGCAGCAGTAATCCATCTAAATAATTTATGCATACTTTTCGGCGTTATGAAGGAAAGACTGGCTATACCTCCCCCCTACATGATGCACAAATAAACATGGCAACTTTTGTTCTATCAATAGACAAACCTAGTGGCTTACCTCACGTTGGGAAGCCGAGAGACCTTCGCGCTTTTTAGCGATTGATCTAGGCGTCCAACTATTTTCCCCTATCTAGCGGAAGTCCTGTCGTCCAGTAATCTTTACTGAAATGCTTACAGAAGAAAATAAAACTCCATTCTGAAGAACCTGTAGTATGAATGTAGGGCCAATAGCAGGATTTCTGTGTGCTATTCATTTACCGAAGAGACTTTTGATGTTGTTAATATATAAGTGGAAGAGAGGGATCAAGGTAGATAAGGGTGCTTACATAGAATGTTAGATGAAGAACTGGTTCAACAGGAACTACTGCTTTGTAATATCTAGGATGCCTTCGAAACTAAGTGACTGCGTTAGGAGCGGCTACAGTGATACCATAAACTAGACGGATGACTTGTGGCTTCGATCACGGCCGTACTAGTCTAGTGCTTTGCCTCGTGAGGCTCATTTACTTCGTTAGGTACCAACGCTTGAGGGTACTTATCTTAGGCAGATAGGATTCCTGCAAGCAAAAGTACACAACAAGTCGAAATTACTTCAAATATTCATGGGTATTGCTGTTAAAGGCAAAGACTTGAGCCTGCAATCAATCGATTTTTTAAAGTGGTTGGATATCTCGGCATGCTGAAGATTTAAAATGTGAACCTGTCTTTATCCCTGTACTCTTTATTTGCATTCCATATAGATACATTATCTTTGGTCTTCAGTTATTATACCGCCTCTTCAAGTCCATGCCCTCCACATCGATTTTCAACCCACCCCTCTGCCGCTACCCCATCCAAAGCTGCGAGTGAGAGATATCTTCCCTCCCTTGCATATTGTTTATTTTGTCTTTTTTGAACTTTATTCTTTTTTTTTGTTATTGTTTTTGCTATTGTTTTCTTGTGTATTTTATTCATTTTTTTTTATATCTGCAGTTTACGATGTAGCTTATTGCAGTAGTAATAGGGCCGAGGCTTTAGTAACCTTCATAAATGTACTATCCCGGCCTCTGTGCGATAATATAAACGTTCTGTTGGCGTTTGCAGTTCCAGACGAAGTTTGTTGCCTTTACGGGACGGGCAATAGTTTTTCTAATGAGGCAAGAGCCGACTCGTCATTATAATGACTATCGCTATTGCTACTGCTGCTGCTATTGTTGAGGAGAATAGGGTCGAGAAAGTAAGGTATGATGTGTTACAATGGTTTCCGCCTGTGAATTTGGATGGCGCGAAGTGCCCCGTTGGTGTACCGGCTATGATCTGGTGTATAGTACAAGGAATCATTACTTAATACCCTGACCCTCTGTAAGGATCATAATTGCTTTTACACGGTGTGTACAAGGTAAGTAAACTTTGGGGCCATGGAGGAGCACTAAAAAGCAAAGGAACAGGAGGGAAGGAAAAAAAGGCATTGGGTTGTCCAACTTGATTGATCCGTGACATTTATGTTATAGTTAAGCTTTTAATTCTTTTTATTTAATGAAGACCCATGGATCATAATAATACGTCTTTCTTTCGTTCTCGTAGATTATTATTATCCTAGTATACTTTAAGGCCAATATACCAAGAGAAAAAGGTAAAATAAGGATTCTTATATGCCATCATTGTGCTCTTGAGAAAGAGAAAGAGGAGGGGAAGGGGAAGGCAGTAGTACAACTTGAAGACCATCATCAGGTGCAATACCGATAACTTCTGCACACATCGTAAAGGTCAAAGGTCGTGGTGGGACTACAGGAGCCGCAGGAGCGGCAGCTCCATTGCTGCTGGCATTCGCGTCGCTTCCAGTCGCAACGCTAGGGGAAGGAGGGGATGCAGCTTGTTGATCTATTCCTTCTGGATAGATATTTATGGCTGGCAGCTCCCTCAAGGTCGGAGGGAGTCTTCGAGGCATGCTTCCTTGGGCGCAATGCGGTAGCTTGAGATAAAAGACGAGAGGGTAAGGATGAAGAAGAGCTGGTAAGGTGTAAGTAGGCTTTGAAGCGTAAGAGGATGTGGGTGTGAGCTAGGGAAGGAGGAATGGTTGTTCTTTTTTCTTTTATATACGAGTAAAAACGTATTTTTTTGGACCATGGGTGATATGGTCTGGCTTCTTCTATATGGGAGTTCTTTACCTGCCTTCCTTTCCTGCTGACAATCTGATATTAAGAAAGCTTTAATTATCTAGGTTCATATATGTTGATGTTTTTAAATGAGATAAATTATACCATCTATTTATAACAGATACCTTATGCAATACCAGTCTTTCCGCAGCAAAGTCAGCAGAGCTGGAGAATGAATGGTTAGGAGGCGCTCCTTGACGAAGTTTACCTTCGCCAAGGAAACCTTGTTTGTCAACATTTTGAGTGAAACCAAAATTTAAAAATTAATTATGGAGGCGTAATCTAATCTATTTTTGATCTAATCTTTCTTGATCTAATCTGATCTGAGGCTTTCATAACCATAACTGCGATAAATAAAAAAATGTAAGCTGGCCAAATTTTTATCAGAAACTAAAGCTCAATGTAACATACACTGCCACTCAAAACTGAACCAATGTCCCTAGCAACTAATTTCTCCCTTCCCCATTCTCTTGGAATCGCTTACGTGAACACCGCTGGCGATATATATAAGTCTCCTATCTTCCTTGATGCTCGGACTACGCATAGAAGTGAAGCCTTCAACTTACCTCATTATCGAGCTTACTTTTTTTTTTTTTTTAGTTCGGCTTCGAGCCACTACTTTGAAATCAAGCGCTCTAATTCTTTTAGTAGCCACCATTCAGGCCAGTACAGAGTGAAAAATTTTAGACAGACAAGTAGTAACTAGGGAGCAGAAGTAAGTGAGAATAAGATGTGGGAACACACATCACATCCATGGGGTATTTATTCAAATTCATATCAAATTATAACTACAAGTTTGCCTACGGGTACCATAAATAGAGTAGCCATGAAGCGAGTTTTTATGATATACAACCATTAGCATATACTATCTTGTGTATAAAATATATTATATTTTTACGTTTTAATTTTTATGTACTCGTGTATTATGAAGTATACAATGATCACCTTTTGTTACGCTCCATTCATCTAACGGCATCTATGTATTTGTATATAACTGTTAATAGTAGGAGGCCGTATATGTGCCATAAAATCCAACACTGCGTCACTTCTAGTCAGGATATTACATTGGTAGCAGTCCTCCACGCTTTAGGATGGGATAAGTGCTGGATCTGTGCATTGTATACTAATTACATGTTTAAATGTAGCATCAACCGGGGTTGTGTTTGTACCCTGTTCCCAATCGTATGGTGTCCCTACTGTCTGTCACTCTTTTGTTTACGTAGGGCTGACGTGACTACCAGGCTGCACTAGTGGATAGCGCTGGTGATCGACCCATTGATGTGGTCCAGATCCGATAATGGACTCTAGGGCTGGATTGGTGGGACCGAGGCAGATTGACGGCCCTACATCTAATTTTCGTCTTTCTATGAGAGTTAAAGGCAGAGAGACCTTGAAGGAAGAGTCTAGGGAAGTTATGGTTATCAAACACACAAAAATATAAAACACACAAATGCAAAAACCACATAATACAGAATACAAATCACAACATACAATCCATAATTCATGGTATATGATACATACAAGCTGTAAAATTGTGAGCATAGTGCACTCGTAGCGTTTACTGAATTGGGCAAAGCGCACAGCCAATCAGTGACTTTATTAAACTTGGCATATCCATACCATAAAGGTGATATAGATGCAGCAGTATGCTGGGTTTTTTTTCTTCATTACGTTTTTATTGGGATCACATAATGTGAGGATGGCACAGGTAGGATGGAATTAAAGACAAGACTGGGAGAATTTGTAAATGGGGTTGTCAGAATAGCCAACTAGTGTGCTGGTCGATATTCCAAGTGTTGGCCTGGACGAGGATGGAAGCCCTGCTTTCTTGGCATGCGAAGGGGCCTTTGAAGGGCTCGGAGGGAGAGGGAATTTGATGCTCTCTTTCCAGAACGGTTTTCTCCAATCAACTATGAACCACATTTCGTTTATTGCATTTATTTTTTAAATTGTGCACTGACCATGATCAACCACATCTGTAGTGATAAATTTTGGGTCCGAAATATATATAAAACTCCAGATATTCCTCAACCTTTTGATAAAAAAACCCCACACACACCCTCCTCATTTTTTTTATTTATTGTCTCTCTACCCTCCTCATCTTTAAGCTTTTTTTGATTTTATTCATCTTTGTTGATCTTGGCTCGAGAATATCTATATATGAAAGTGTTTTTTTTTTTTTACATCTAGTTTCACAGGTCATTAAGTCAAGGCTTAGGCTATTACTTATTTCACTGAATAAACCACAAAAAGCGCTTTGGGCTATCAGTAGCAATGTAACATAGATAAATTTATATTTGTATAGCCGGTGTTCAATAAAGAATTCATTGAAAAGCGAGTTTCATTTATTTTCTCTTCTTTCATATAGAGCTAGGACTATAGCTGTGTGCAAGTTTAAGAATATAAAATAAATTAATAGCCATTTACATAATTTTATTCAGATCTAGGCGGGGTTGAATGCATGAATTTGGATGACTTTGCTCTCTTACATATAATTATGCGTATACCTTTTTTTTATTTTTATTCTTTTCATCGCCCCATGCCCGTTAGAAAATATTCTCATATTTTATAAACCTTGGAATAGTTTACTCCTCATATTAAAAAAAAAAAGTAGCCCATGAGTCTTTTGTCGTCACAATGTAGCTTGTGTATGGATATTGGCGCTAGTGCAACAGTGCAGATTTTGTTAGTATAATGATTATAACTGGTTCATCATTTGTGGCAAATGACGCGAAGGAGGCGGCTTCCAAGAAGGGGTCCGTTCCTCAACCAACGCCGCAAGCCAAATTACTGGTTGGTTGGAAGTGAAATATTGCTGGCATGCTCAAACATTTTTATTATGTACGGAAATATGTCGCGGCGGAAAATATGGGTTTCTTACCCTATTTATTAATATAGAGGAGACTAACATGTAGAGTATATGGCAAGTGCCAACGAGCTATGGGCCAAGCAATACGAAAAAAAAAAAAAAAAAAAAAAAAAAAAGCTGACGGGCATAGGACAGAATTATGAGAATATGAAGCGCATGTCTGATATTCAGCCAAAACGTTTGCGCCTAGAGCTAATGGTTTCCCGAGTTTAGGGCTAAGTAGAGTGGAGCAAGGGTCTCAAGCTACTATTGCAGTCGTCCCCTCTTCCTCATTCTACTTGGGGGAAGCAGAATTCCAAAAGGGACATCATCGTCGCGTGTAAGGTCCACAAGTTCGGATGTCATAAAGAAAGGTTGAGTTAATGACCCAGCTGTGCCTTGGTCCTGGTTGCCTTCGTTGCCGACAGGAGCAGCATTGGGGTTGGCACTAGGGGCAGAGGAGAGACTAGAGGCAGAGGAGAGACTAGAGGCAGAGGAGAGACTAGAGGCAGAGGAGAGACTAGAGGCAGAGGAGAGACTAGAGGCAGAGGAGAGACTAGAGGCAGAGGAGAGACTAGAGGCAGAGGAGAGACTAGAGGCAGAGGAGAGACTAGAGGCAGAGGAGAGACTAGAGGCAGAGGAGAGACTAGGGGGAGCGACAGGAGAAAGGATAGGAGGGGTAGGAGGAGAGATAGGTGCAGCTTGTTCATTTTGATTAGAAGTATCCGAAGTATTTGCGGTGATTTGCGACATCCTTTTCTTTTCTTTTTTTTTTTCTTTTTTTTTAAAAAATGCGTTAGCGTGTCTTTTTGAGTTGAAAGTGTGTGTTATAGGGCAAGAGAGATGTTTTTTTTTTTTTTTTTGGGATAAGAGTTAAGGAGAAAATGAAGTTTATATATACATAGACGTCTAGGGCGGGCAAAAAAAAAAAGAGTATTTTAATGGTGCTTACATACGTATCATTGTATTCGTGGAGGCGTTAATAGAGCCGTATTTGGGGGTGTGGTGGCACACATTATTTATTTCAAAAAAAAGCAATCTATCCGAGGACTGGGGAACTTGAATTTTATTTAACCACACAAATAAGAGTATCATCCTCTGTCATTTCATTTGATCATATTTTTAATCTAAAAACGACAATTGAATTGGTTTAGCGGCATCTCACTCGCAACAAACGAGTCAACTGGCTGCCAATATATTCGAGAGTATTCAAGAAATATAAAGCCTACATGTTCAATCCATTGTTGCTTTTTAAATGACCTCTTTTTGAAAGATAAAGGGCCCTTTATTATAATAATATTTATCTGCAGGCAACTTCATAGACCCTTTTTTTAACTAAAGCCTAAACAAAACTCGGATAGCCCTACTTTTAACGTCCAATGGCAAGCCACATGTTTATATGCTCTAAAAATACTAAACATTCTCTCCTGCAGACATGATCAACGGCCACCACGCTTTGTGCAACCCAAGAGAAACATGCACAAGTTCGATTTGCTAAAAAAAAAAAAATAAATAAATAAAGGACAACACCCAATCACTAGTTTTCAGATAACGGACCAAAACGATTTGTGCACTGAATAAAGGCAAAGTGAACTTGGCCTCCAAGGAATTATTTGTAATCGCTTATACCTGTGCACTCCTATCGTTACGATGCCTATCTAAGCAGTCATAACGTTAGGAATGAGAAAAAAAAAAAAAAAAAAAAAAAAAAAAAACAGAAATCAATGTGTATTTACAATCCTTTTATTTCTTCATATTGCACATAAAAATACTGATGTTTCTATTCACCTTTGTATTTGCCTTAGTCTCTCTACTTTTTGTGCACATAGTCTCATTACTATTTAATATACAGAAAAAGTCCACTTATTCAACTATACTTCATCTTCATCTAATTGGACACCAGCCCTGCTGCACTCGGAATTGAGCTCATAGGCGTCAGAAGACAACTAGAGCAAGTATGAAAGCATATAGTCCGTTTCATTTGGTCGCGATCCCATATGTTTTGAATACTCTCGAGTGTATCGGCAGCCAATTGACTCATTTGTTGCGAATGAAATGCCGCTAAACCAATTCAATCGTCGTTTTAGATTAAAAAAATATGGGGTCATGTTCAAATGATATGAGCGATCGATACCTCTTTTTTTTTTTTTTTTTTTTTTTCTCCCCATATAATAACTTTACATCTGAGGCTTGCTTTGCCACCAAAGCTAATGTACGTTATGACCATTTCCCAAGAACCATCAAGGGAAAAAGGAAGTGGTACATTGAGTACATCAATGTCTGTGTTCCATTCCAACAGAAAACCAAAGACAGTTCATTATATTTGAATTGATAGAGCGATAAGGCACAGACGTCTCTGTATTAGGTAATCCCAATATCTTGAGGGAACCAAGGCCGAGCGAGCCTTGAACCACGTGGGTGTTAAGCATAAACTAAGATTGACTCGCGTTTGCCTTATTTATAGACTACAGGGTATTATAATAAATATAAGCCTTTACAAATCATACTGACATAATTTCGCGTCATTCAAAAGCCGCGACGCATATTGGAGCATGGAACCATCGCAAGGGCGCCCCTTCTCACAATTTGTAAAATATACAGAACCGACCGCCAGCTGTAGTCTTTTTACAAAACGGGTCCCTGGTGAGCGGACTCCAGTACTATGACTCCAACAGCCCGTGGGAGAACAACAATTAGGGAGTCGTCTCCAAAGGTACCTGCTGGCTCCCACTTAATGAAATATCTTTATCTCGGCCTGTTTTTTGTTGGCAGGTCCTCCACATGTGTGTTTTTATTTATTTATATTCCTTTATTTTATAACTTCTATCCCTGAAGTCCTTTTTTAGTATACATATAATTAGTAGAATTTTGGTCACCTTAGCTTGATTATTCCACCACTTTTGGAGTGTAGCGTTCATCCATCTGCAGGCAGCAGGAAGCTGCACCTTTGTCTCAAATCCCACACTGCGTCACTAACCAAGATGTTATGCTGACAGCTGAATGCGGTATCAACTGTGATAATATTTGCATCCAACTGCTATATTCCGCTCGTAGTTTGAGAATTGTGTGCCTTTTTTTTTTTTTTTTTTTTTTTTTTCTTTTTAGAAAAACGTAGAACAAAAAATAAAAATAAAAATAAAAAAAATAGAAATGTTATAAGTATAGCTTAATGGCCCTCGGCCCAAGTGGGCCTGGCCTCCGAGACCTTGACCACGCTCCTCTTGCAGGTGCATGACCTGTCGCAATTTTTAAGCTGGACCAACGGCGAGACTGAGGGTAAGCTAGTGGGGGGATTCAGATTATCGGTAGCAGATCCACGGATTGAATCAATCGTGAAATTGAAGGTTATCGCTGGCCCACCTCTCTTTGACGTTTTTTTTAGCAAAGTCAAGGCATGAGGAGACCATAGAATGAAAGGGCCTAGAGATTTCAGAGATACTGGAATTACAAGGTACATCGTACGAGTTACACGTTTTATAGTACGCGCTACAGAATGGGAAACTATATCATTGTGTAGAAATGCGCGTACGCTTCAATTTTATGGTATATATATGCAATGAAGACATCGCTAAATCATAAATGGATACTCACTTCCATGGTATTATAGGAGCGGGGCCCACGAGACCATCCAAGGCAATTCAAAAAATGAAAAGGATGTTTGAAAGGAGTATTGCAGCTACTACACTATTCATTTTGTTCCCTCATGTGTTACTCTTGGCTTGCGATCACGCTATAGCGGTACCAGGGGAGATGCCAAGGAGAAAGACGTCAATGAGAGAGATATTGTAGGAGATAAGAACGGGAAGAGAAGTAGTAAATATAGGTAGAGCGAGAAGGTAAATAAATGTTAGAAGAGAAATGGGAATGAGGTCGCTGATGAGGACGAACGAAGCTTCAATTATAAAACTCCAGTCCTATTCCTCCTCGCCCCCTCAGTATGTTCGCATCAAGTAAGCTTAATCGTCATGGCTAGCCAACTTGTGGACCGGCCGATGTTTCTAGTGCCGGAAGAGCTAGCCCATCTAAGAAACCTTTAGAGGGCACTGTCTTACACACAGAGGAGGTAGGGTGAAGAGGACTTGTTCAAAATCATTGAGTAGGTAGTCACATCGTCGAGCCCGGCGCCATAAGTACCGAGTTATGCAAGCAATGCCACTCGTTTGAGGAGTGAAGAGAGATTATGAAGCGATGAGAGGGCATGGGAGCTTCATGCACTCTTCTGTCGAGCATATTTAAGCTTTCTATGCGCTTAAGGAAGGAGGTTCGGTCTGCTTTGTGAAGCGACGAAGGGTGGTTTCGAGGCACAACAGAATATGTAAAGGTGACATTTGAGAGAGACTTGTCGCGGGGAAAAAAAAGAAAGCGGAAGAGAAGACATAAAACCAATGTTTATAAAGAACTTGAAACTCGGTTTATCCGTGTGAGATGTTCCAGTTGGCCAGGATAGTGAGTGTGTAAAAACTAAATTTTGAGTTTGCGTATAAAAACGGAAGTACTCTATTCAATTTAAAAGCATGAAAAATATATCCAGTTATGACTATTTGATAAGGACTTTACAACTGCTTGATTTCTACTAAAATACGGCCCATGCAAGATAAAGTTAAATATTCTTTGAAAAAGCAGCTTTGAGATGGTACTAGTATGTCTTTCCTGCAATGCACAAAAGGCATATCATTTCTAGAGCTCTAGACTTTCTGACTATTTTTTAGAATGTGCAGCTAATTAAAAAAAAAAAAAAAAAAAAAAAAAAAGTACACGCTGCTGGTCAACCCATTTGGTCAGTGATTCTTATGTATTTGAGAGCCAACTATTTCCCTTGTTACAAGTCCATCGCGGGCGGTGCAATATCAAAATCAGCCACCAAAACAATTCAACCATCGAGTAGAGAACAAAAGACATTCACAACTTCATCAAAAATAGAGAAAATTGGACCTTGTTCAGCTCATAAGCCACTGCATGGTTGTAACAGATCCCCTGGAAATTCTTTATAAATAATTAAATGAATTGCTGGTTCCTTGATGTTGCTGTGCATCACTTCTTTTATCTGGCTCCATCTTCACAGCCCTCATCGCTTTCATGATCTGGAGCTTTTATTGGCAATGAGAGCGGTTTCTTAGGAAATCGTTCTCGCGACTATGCCATCACGAAGCTCAACAAGGATATCTTGAAGAGCAGGAAATGTCAATGATGCTATGAAGCGAAGTTCGATTGTATATACAGAGTAGTTTGGGCGTAGAACTGGGGGGGCGGCCAACAAGGATGTTCTAGGCCACTATACCCCGCGCTTTTACCTAAGAAAAAAGAAAGGCTAGTTTGCTATTGATGCGACAAAAACCACATCTTCCGTTATGCTATATAGTGAAAATGGGGGGCCATGGGGTGAGCAGCACCACATCTCCATAGACTAACGATCTCGCACAATCTGACTACCCATCTAACGCACGGATACTTAATTAATTTGGTCCAAAAAAAAAAAAAAAAAAAAAAACCACATTATTACATGCAGGTCAAACCACATTTGCTTGAGCTAAAATTATTTTATGCAATTGTATATATAAATATAACATTCGTTAAGAAATAAAATAATTTTTTTCAGATTACCAATTTCACTTTTGTCTAATTGCTTTATTTTTTGCGACCGATTCCAACTCATTTATGCACAAATAGATATATTTTGCTCTTCATGGGTGAGACTCAAATCTCTTTTCTCTCCTAAGTTCCTAGGTAAACCCAGAAAGAGAAGGCGCCGAACTTTTTATGACCGCATAGCGTCTATGAACTTTCGTAGTCTGGGTGAAGGTAAGGTTAATGGAGATTTATTAAAAAAAATCATGTTGTTGGACACATTGAGTAATGTGGGTTATCCTTTGGCTACCGTGCATTGGTATGTTACAGTGGGATGTAAATATGCTGCAAAAAAGGTGTTCGGGCGCGCTTCTTGGCGGTAGCATATATAAAAAAATTGTCTTACTCTGATGACTATAGATCGAGCGTAGATGCTTATAATGATGTAGTTGCAACCATGCTAGCGCTATATACCATATATATACCATACTTTTTTTTATCAAATCCCCATCCCTTAAACCAAAACAAGGGCAACATTTCCTTAAAACCTTACGGTTGAAGGAATATTTCGCGCTCCACAACTGTATTCAAACTATATGACTATATATCAGCCATACAAAGTGTACTCGACTTATTAAATTTAACCCAACATTCCATACTCCCCTCAATTATTGCATATTTATAGCAAGGTACAGGTCGGCATTAAAATTATTATATAAAAGAAAATATGAGAATATTTCTGGTCCGGTCTTGTGCGACAAAAGCTACCTGGAATGATGGAGATATTCGATGCAGAAAGGCATCATTGGGATCCTTTTAGTCAACAAGGCCGCTCACAATTAAATAAGGCCGTTCTTAAAAAAGACCCCCATTGAGTATAAGCAAAGCTTTGCCTTGGTTAGACTTGAAATAGTAAGGTGCTAGCCAGACCATTATAGGGCAAATCTACTTTAGTTTTTATCATAGGATGATACTTGGTAATTCTTAATGAGACTATTTTGAACTTGAGGCACTCTAGGAGCCAGAACGACCTCTCTTCCGTGTAAGACAGAACTCTTTATAATAATGGACAATTTCTCCTTCGCTAGCTAAATAAACCATAACCACTGAAATAATGGATCCATTTAAAAAAGAAAAGGCTATCATATCTTGAATGATATTGAGTACTATTTTTCCTGTCAAGGAGCTTTAGAGTTTCTATCACATATTACCATTCATCACCTGCACCTTTGGCATTTAAAGAGGGGTTTTACCTCATAACGCGTCGCTTCAATAAACATATTCCAGGCATTTCTTAGAAGCCCATCGAAACCACTGTCTAAAAAATGCAAAAAATCGTCTGTAGATAGTGAATCTAACCGAAAATGGTTAACATTACGATCTCTGACCAAGTTTACGTTCATTATCAAGAGAAGAAATAAAGAACGCGAGTACTCTGTCCTCAGTTTTTTTTTTTTTTTTTTTTTTTTAAAAAAAAAAAAAAAAAAAAAAAAAAAAACTACACATAACTATGTATGGCAATCCAAAGGAACGAATGAAACTTATTTTTATTGTTCCTGAGCCGTTAGAGACCGTTAGACAAGCGACATTTTCATGTTGATAAAAATTGGAATTTACTATAAGGGGAATATAGGCCCTGAATGTTGGTAAGGTTTGAAAAAAACTTATTTTGTGCACGTTTTTTATCCCATTGTAGGCAAATTACCAAGATCTTAACTTTCATGCTGAGTTCGAAAGATTTCGAACACGGACGTGATTATTAGTGCACGACCAAGTGCGATTACAGACAATGCCTTGAAGGTTACGTTCGCTTTGCGCTTTCTTCTGTGCACAACTCGGTCCTGTCTGTTCTCTGAAATCTAGGTATTTCTCTAACAGGCGAACTAGTGCGACATCGTACAAAAGATTGTCTGTGAAATTATATATTGTTGATCCACGTTACTGTTACTTCTATGACGACGCAGAATAACATATTTGATGCATGTGACTCGATTATTTTTAAAAAGACACATGTAACTTTGATTATATTAAAAATAAAATAAACCACGTATTTTATTTATATATTAAATACAAAGTAGAATGCTTCGTGTTCCCTTTTTTTTTTTTAAAGACATCGTTTTTTTCTTAAAAAACAAAATAAAATAAAAACAAAAGACATAAAGTCGTCAAATATAACAATATAACAAGATATAATGACAAGGTGAGCAAAGAATATGTGAGCATTATATTTATTGGGTTTTTTTTTCTGTTTTGCTCTATTTGTTGGAACCACATCATACTACTGAGCTTAGAGGAAGGGTCTGCTCTATCTTTCCCCCTCCTTGGTGGCGTCTAACAAACTGCACCAATCAGTTCTCTGTGTGTGTGTTTTTTTTTTTTTTTTTTTTTTTAGCAAGGTGAATGTTTGACGATCCGCTAAGTAAAAAAAAAAAAAAAAAAAAAAAAAAGAACCAAACTCGGCGCTAGAGCAGTGTTGAGGCAGATTAGGTGGGGGAACATTTCAAAGGCCTTCATGCTCCTGTGGCGGCAGCTGTAATACGCCTTGAATATCATCATAATGGGTGACATCAACGAAATCAGGCTTCATGCAGAAGACGGGGGATAATGGCTCTGCCACGTCGTCATCCTCGCCATCCTCATCACCATCGGGGCCGGCATTACCATCAACATCGATACCGACGTCGACATGACCATTGACATCTGCCTCGACATGACCATTGACATCTGCCTCGATATGGTCAATGACATCTGCAGCCGCAACTGCATCGACAGCAGGACCTGCATTAAGAGCGACACCTGCAGGTGCATTTACATCTGCATTGGCATTGGTATCTGCAGCAGCATTGGCATTGGCGTCTGCACCCACATTGGCAGCAAGTACCTCAGCCTGTAATGAAAGCGGGGCAGGCGGGTTGGGGCCTGCAGGTGGACCGTTGGTTGGTCGTCTAGCAGTGTAACATATAGGCATTGTCTTTAAAACAAAATATTTCTGACAGGGAAAACGTCTACTAAGGGCAGTTCCTTTTTTTGTGTGGGCGCAGAAGGTGAAGCTGCGATGGAGTAAGAGTGAACGAATAAAAAAAAAAAAGAAAAGAGATAGATAAAAAAAAGGTGATAACTGTGGCCCTTTTTTCAAAATTTTAAAGAGAAGAGGTGAAGAGAAGAGAGATAAATGATGGCTGCATTATTTTCTATATAACAGAAAAACAAATAGGGCTTTGCAAAGGATACTACTCTCGCCTATACAGGGCCTGTTCCCGCATTGAAATAGAGCATAGAAGGGGACTTACGTCTGTCTGGGCCCGCTTTGGTGGTTATTTTACCTTCGCCATAAACATACTTTGCACATGGGTTCCCCCCCCCCCCCGTAGTCGCCAAGAAACGCTCTGACCTCAAGGGCTATAAGATTCATATTATTGGCTCTTTATTTAAAATCAATAGAATAGCAAGCGCAGATGCCCTCAGTCTATGAATCAGGACGCCCTCAATCTATGAACCAGTATCGAATGAGCTCATGTCTGCCTTTATTGCAGGCTACAGAAGTCTATGAATCTAAACAAGCTAGGGCTCTTCGATAGTTGCGAAAACATAGAGTCGACGTACTTGTCAGGAACTAGCTTTTTCTTCGAGGGTTTTGAAATGGGGCGTCGTTATGAGGTTACCTCCTCTCATAGTGTGTAAAATGTACAAAGTCAACTGCCTGCTATAAACTTTTTTGCAGCAAAGTAGTTCCTTGTTGAGCAGTGTGCACTGCCATAGCCTCTTCACCACCTTGTGCCAGAAGGATAAGCGGTAGGTGATCCTTAAAGTCCTCTGCAAGCACACCCTTAAGGAAGCGGCCTTAGCTTGGCGTGTTGTTGTTGGCATTGCTTCATGTTCGTAGAGTCACTTCAGAATGCATTAATTTGTTGAACTTAGGATGCCTCATCTATGTGAGCTTCTCACTTTCATAATATTCCTGTAGATAGTCATTTGTTAATTATATCTTGTAGCTAAGTAGTTGGAGACGTATTTGCATCGTGTTCCCATACCAAGCACATGCTTAGGAAGCTATGCACTTTTTTTTGAAGTTGAAAAAAGCAGAAGATGAAGCACGACTTAATGCCCCTTGACCCAGGTGAGCCGGGCCTCCTATGTGTCCTTATTCCCCTGCTCCCTTCTATTCGTGTGGCATAGGACTGTTGCTAGGCTGGGTCAATAGTGGGGTTAAGGGTTGAATCAGCGGCAGGGTCTATGGAGCCGGCGGTGGAGTCAAAGACTGGAGTAATGATGAATTAAAAGGTTATTGATGTGGTCCTCCCTTCACTATGCATTTCACTAAAGCCAGAAGTCGGAAGGAGTCAAAGGAAGGAAGGATATAGGAGATCCAGAGGTGTTTTGGTTGCTAAATTCACGATGCGCAATAAAGAATGTAACGGACGGAGGGGCTGTGCACAAGGGGGCGGAGCGCACAGCCAATCATCAACCCACCAAAATGTTTGTGCTTCTTCATGATCACCATCTTTAAACGGTAAATGGGGTTTCGCTTGTGTGATAATGGCAGGGGCGATCGCTCAAAGAGACCCAAATAGTGGAAATGGCATTTAAATAACAGTGTTGTGGATGGTGGATGTAGCATTGTTCTTGATTAGTGAGTGCGCTGCGAAGATGCCAAGAGGTGTCAAAGAAGGATGTCCAAAGGAGGAAGGCATCATGGAGGGAGTTATCGTGGAGGAAGCGTTCATAGGTAAATGAAGATCAGAGGAGTAGAGGGACTGGAGGAAAACAACTGGAGGGGAATGGTAGGAGGGGAACGGTTGAAGAGAAATGGTAAACGAGGCTGCCGGCGGCGATGAAAGGCTATCCAAGCATAAATATTCGCTCCTAGTACTCTTAAGGCTTCCAGTACTCCAAGTATGTCCACACCAATGGCGCTCAAGGCAAACTCAATTGGCATGATCAGTGAAGCTAGTTTGCGGACCTGCCAATCCTCCTTGTATCAACTCGGAGGAACTGGCAGGCACGCGAACACACCCAAGGGAGCTCTAAGGGGCGCAAGCGGAGAAGGCGAAGCAGAGAAGAGCCCTTCAACCCGTTGAGCTCTTGGTTCTCGTCGCGCTTGATGCCCTAAAGGCTGAGCTATACGAGCGCTGGCACTCGCCTACAGAATGGGTAGAGATCATGAATGATGAGGAAATATAAATGCTCCATACTCTTTTGTTGTCGAACATCGCTAGGCTTTCTAATGCATATAATAGAGTATTTTGTTCGAGCAAGGTGAATTTAGGGAAGGTCAAGGGATTGGAGGCAATGCTTAGTTAAGGATAAAAATAAAAAGATAAAGAAAAAAAAGTGGAAATATGCCATCGGCACCGCGCAACTAACGATGTGGCATTGTCTACCCTTAAGTCCTTTAGACCCCAAAAATCCACTTAATCGTTGCTCCATTTGCAGCGAAATCAACAAAACCAATTATCTCGCCACCTTCGGGTAAGTGTTAACCGAAGGTCGGTTGGCCTAATTGAGATTGATGATTTCTGGGGCAAAAAGACGAACTCAGGGGGTCTGAACATTAGATCAGACGAACGAGAAGAATATTCTGGATCACTTTCATAAGAGCAAAAGAGAAAACCTCAACATCTCTGATGAGATCGATTGCTTTACTTTGGCGAAGTAAACTATGCATCTTTTTTGGCGAAGTCAACTCTGCATCTTTTTTGGCGAAGCCAATTTGACAAAAGAAATTGGGTTTAATGAAATATTTAGTTGCCTTGGACAAAAGAAAAAAAAAAAACCAAACGCCAGGGTACTGTTAGGCGCGACATCTGATATTGGGCTCAATGACGTACAGCCTGACATGTCCTCAAATGCAGGTCTACGAAAGCAAGGATATGAAAGCCTACATCTACTTGAAGATCTTCCAGCACCTAATGTTCTTATGCTCTCTTAAAGTGTATAATGTAGTTCCCGTCTCTATTAAAGAGCCATTGATAAGTAGCTTTGAGCCACACCCAAGCGTGTTAGTGCTTCGTTGGGGAAGTTGTATGCATTGTTCAGATGATCCACAACAATGCGGACTCAGACATGTAACTCACCCCTAGATGCTTGACATTAAAGTTTTGAAATTTGGCAAAAAAAAATTGCACGTCCCCCCTTTAATTTTTTTTTTGTATCGCCGCGAAAAAAGTTTGTAATCTGATCGTCATCTGGAATATAAATAAAAGCTCTCCGCCTCCACATTTATTTTTTCAAGATTATGAAGGCAAGGCCAACTATATCTTCACCATTCGCAAAAAGTAAAAAGAAAGAAAGAAAGAAGAAGTCAGCACTGTATGCAGTCTCACATACCCTGCTGCTTCGATTACCACTCATCAGACAACTCAATCCAACTTTCAGTCAATTACTTCCAAATATTTTCTTTCCATTCCTTCAACTGGGCTTCACTGTGGGCCATCCACAAGTAGACGCTTTTGTCCTTCGTGACTAAAATTCAAGTATTTCTCCTCCATTAGTTCCCTAACTAAATCCAGACGAAGAAGGTGTTACGCTTTTTAGTAGCACATAATGTACCTTCCTAATCAGGTCAAAGACACTACAAATGAGGCTTCAAAAAAAAAAAAAAAAAAAAAAAAGCCAGTAATGGGTGATTGGCAACAAGGCAATGGCGGGCAAGGATGTATCCATTGACTACCATGGGTCAGTATGCCACGGGGATTCAATAAACTCCATCAAGTACAAATGGGCTTTGGTTAAATCTGAGGTGTTTAATTGCTAAGTATATCATCGTAGGGCAAACTCATGTTATTTCTCTGTCATGGAATATTGGTTTGGTAATCCAGATAAGCCTATATGGGTTAAAGGGGTTCTAGAAGTTTAGATGGCCCTCTTCCTCATAGAGGGCGGCATCCTTCACAAAAATGACGCTATTCTACTTTGCTAACCAATAAATCATAACCAATGTATTAACGAACTTATTATTTAAAAAAAAGTTTATCGTATTTTGAATGACATAGAGTATAGATTTTTGAAAAATAAAAAAAGTGATAGCTATTTATTTTATATTTTATTTTATTTTATTTTTAAACCAAATAAACACTATATTAATCAGCTATGTTTTGCTATTCCGGTTTATGTCAAAAGACTATAAGGTATTCAAAAGTGGACGCCTTAAAGAAGGTTACTATTTAATAAGTCATTTTATCAAGCATTGATACATATAATACTGTGCACTTTTGTACAATTTTCGACTTTACTATACCTCTCGGGCTAAGAAGCCCACAATTCATGAAAAATTATTGTCTTCTACTGATTTCCCTACTCCAGCTAAGCGTGGGTTTTTAGAATACTTTTTTTATAAAAAGAGTAAGGCTCCTAGCCAATCATTGATCGAAATAATATAGCAAACTCGAAAAATGTACAAAGTGTATTAAATGCCAATTGACGCTTGTGACTAAATATGGTAGACAAACTTGACAAAAAAGGTCTAGCCTAAAGATACCAGAGGTTTCAGAGACCTGTGACTCACAAGCAAAAATGTGATGTTGGTCGCACTCCAAAGCAAGAATGTCATTGGTCCTTCTTGGGGGACCCTCTAAATTTCTATTGACAACTTCGCCAAACTATACATGTCATGTACCCCGACGTACTCACTGGACAAGTGTGGAAACAGAAAGCAGGAGCAGGAGATTCTTCAACGGACATAAACACAGTGGGCGCAGTATACCAGTATACTCCGCAATAATCTGTATAAACAACAGAATTGAATAATACATTATACATTTATATCGCTTTTTTGTAAACAATAAACGTCGTTGATTCTATATAAAATAAAAACAATAGTAATGACACGGATGAAGTATCTGGGCGAGAATATAAATGAGCAGTATACAAAGAAACGTATAGGGCTATTCAATAGGTCAGCACAACATGAAGTATCAGACAGCCTGATCCAATCATCTTTTTCCCGCGTAATTCATAGATCTGTTGTCTCTTGGCTAGGGTCCCGATCCCCTCTACGAGCAAGCTATAGAGAACAAGAGGTGTCCCTCCCCTACTCAAATACGTTGCATTGTTTTTCCTTTCCTTAAATCTTGGCACGAGTCGTTGTATAAAAGAAAGGTCAAAAGGAGAATTGTTTTCTCTCTTTCTGCATTCTTGTCATATCTTTAGTTTTCGCATACAATTAAAAGAAATTCTACTCAATCTATACAACTTTCGTCGAAGGAAGCATGGTATTAAATAATGCGTCTCAACGATGGCTAGCCCCGCCAGCCATAAATGACCATCCATTTGTAAATCTCAACCCAGCCGAAGCAGCTTTACAAGATGCGCCTCCGGCTGCTCCATTGCTTCCACTCCTGCACCCTATACAACCCGAAATAATTATTGCCACTGGCGTCGAAGCTAACGCCAATGAAAACACAAATGGAACCGACGAAAGTAGCGAGGATGGTAGTGCTGCAGGACCATTGCCTCCAGTCTTTGCCATGGAGGCTGATATTATCGATGCCACACGTTACGACGACGTTCAAGATGTACTACAGCTTCCTTCTAAGCATCAAGGCTCCTTTTATCAAGCTCTTTCTCCTGTCTTAGAACACCAATAATTTGATTCTCTTTTAATGGTCCTCCACTCCATACTTTGGTCCCCACAGTTACCCTTCTTTTAGATATGAACCAAGCTGGCTGCCAGCCTGATTTTAACCAAAGCAAAGCAATGTTTCATTCTATTTGTTTGCTAATGGCTTAGTCCCCTCCTTTTGTCTGTGTGCTCAATGATTCATATAAAAATAATTTAGATAGTAAAAGAAAAGAAGGTTTTATTCTATTCAATTTTGTTTTTTTTATTTATACGATCAATTTTAGTGGGGTTTATAAAAATGAAATAAAATAAACAAACATCAAGAGCATGGCCCCAGCTTTTTTTTTTTTTTTTTTTTTTTTTTTTTCCGATACAAGCTTCCAAATAAAGATCCTCTCCCTCGCCCTCCCCCCCCCCCAAAAAAAAAAAAAAAAAAAAAAGAAAAAAAAGTTACTGAGCATTTTTGGTCCGTGCAGACCAGTCAATGCTTCTATTATGTATAAGTGCATTGTTATTGATAATTGGTTACATGACATATTGTCTTCTGAGGCTGCATAAAAGATTGGTTTGCTCTTATACAAAAGATGCGCAGCATTATCCAATAGGAACATTTAGTTTTTTAGTGCATGATTTGAGAACTTATCCAGGGCGAAGTGGTAGATACAGTAGATGAACACTATTTACATCTGTATATACCAATGAAATTGGCCATTCCTTGTGTGACATGGAGTAGCACAAACACAGCTCTGTTTTGGTGTTTTCATTAGAGTACACCATGTCTAACCATGACTGTTAAAAGAAATAGTAGCATTCTTGAGCTCCGAAATAAACCAAAAAGAACAGACAAGATGATTAATAATGACTGGATATTTAATTTTTCGTTCCTATATCCTCTGTATTGGACGCTCGCTGTGTGCATGTTTTTGCTGTTGTAAACCATGATCTGTGTAACCTTACATCTCACAATAGAATGTTGTGAATGGCGCATTCTCTTGCTTTTGGTAGATAGCAGGCACAAAAGAACAAACGCGATTTTATACGGACGAACCATGGTCCGTGTCCTCTTCGCATTTCCACCAATAAGATCACTCGATTGTTTCAATTGTCTTTAGTAAACCATTGTTTTTTCCTGTACAACCCACCGACAAACAGTAGCCATTAGATGTACCTCGCCTTACTTTTGCTACCCTAGCCGCTGGCGCTATCTCTCACGTTTCGGCTGCTTTGAGAATATCTGTTGGTGCTAGACCAATCTTATACTATCTCCTTCACATTAGTAGTCTATGTATCCCATATTCTTCAATCCACCATTAGCTCAGCTTACACTGCTTATCATAGGGCTTTTACCATGACCTTGGCCGCTGCTACATAGGGCAACTTTACAGTTTGAATGTAGCTTTTTATTTTTTTATTTTTTGGGGTTGACATTAGAATGATAAACTATTTCACGTTGACATGACAATGTGTTCCCCCCCTTTATTCATGAAGTCAGCATAACTTAAAAAACATGGTTTGGACAATTAAGGCAACCGAAGGAATTCAATAGTAGAAGGGCAAATCGAGCAAAGGATCCCGTCTCAATAAAGATTATGTGCAAGCATTCCAACAATTGTCGGTAAAGCCTTGAGACGAATAGCTGATTACTTGACCTAACGTGGTCAGTAAAAAAAAAAAAAAAAAAAAAAAAAAGTCATGTGCAAGAGTTTCCCCATATATGCATAAGCACATGTTCTGCGACAATTGAATCTTGGCATGGCGAGGACAAAAATAAATTTTATTTTTCTCAAACTAACATGGTCATGCGCATAAGATTGTGCAATTAATTTTTATTATTTTCCTTTTCTTTCCGCCGATTTGATTTCCCGCCATTTTCTTGGATTGGAAGCATTCCTCACAAGGCTTGGTCTTTACATTATTTTATATATACATTATTTATTTATATATCAATTTTTATTTTTATGGTTTGTCGTATCATGGATACGGTATGTAATGACCCATACTGCCCTAGCCACCTAGCAGTCTCCTACACAAGGTTATTAACATCATTACGCTATATAGACTATACCGCTATATAATATTAGCTTCGCTAAGCTTGAGAGCAATAGAAAAGAGGTGAATTACCACCTACATATTTGCATATTATCATCTTCCCGCTGGCTACCTCTCCTAGCTATCGCCCCATACAAAGTTAGATAGAAAACATGCATTTCATATAAAAAGGAGGCCATTTTATGCTATCTTGAGGGTCGCCAACGACGACAACAAACACCCCAGTAGGCGCTCTTCATCCAACAAATAGAAAAATAATAACACGGTGACGATACCGCTACCCCAGTAGAAAGGAATATGCCGCGAAAATTCCCTATAACATCAAGAAACCTAGATGTGGTCTTCAATGATGCCGAACAAGATCTCCAGATTGAGCCTGATCACTTCCTCCCTCTCCCTCCACAAGCACCACCTCATCTAGCACAGCCCGGAGCACAAGCTCCTGGTACAGCTGGAAACGATTTAGAGGGTGAGGATGACGGTGTTGCTGTACCATTTCAACCCTTAGTTTTTACAATGGAAACTGAGGTCGTTGATAATACACGAGATGATGATCTTCAGATTGTACTACAGCTTCCTTCTCCTTCTGTTCCGCACTCTTCTCTTCCTCCACGCCCTCTTCCTCCTTCTCATGACCATAGCAATGTTTGAAGGTCTTTGGCCCTGCCCTAGGTTCTGCCTAAGTCGAGTCAAGTCCTATGATACAAGTCTCAAGCCAACGCACAGAAACAAGTGCTCAATTACACGCTTTTTTTTTTTTTTTTTTTTTTTACAATAGAATGAGTGTAAATATACGAAATAGAACAGAGTAATAATGATTATGATACAACTTTTTTAGATGATCTGAACAAAGCCAAGACAGCACGGTTATGCGCTCCTCGTTTTAGATCACTAGAGCCATTCTATGGGGCCATGATGCTTTTTTTTTTTTCTTGAACTAGCTGAAGTAATAAAAAAGTAAATGGTAAACGGAGAGTGAAGTTGTTCTGACTTGAGAATATCGACCTTCAATATGCTACATTTAAAAACATAAAAGCCTCACTGTTGGTTAATAAGATGAATGAAACTAGAGAAGAGGAAGAGAGGGAAGTAGGATATGGAGTAAGAATGATGTAAAAAAAGGGTATCAATGAGTGTAGGAGATGGAGAAGAAAAACAAGAGGGAAGCAAAACGAAAAGAAATGAAGGTATCAAGCACAGTTTGATAAAGCCAGCCCATCTAGGAGAATGGATAGAAGAGCAAGTATCAATAAACACCATCGTCCCTGCCCTGCGGAACAGAGGGTGCTGGAAGAGGAGGAGACTGCATTTCAACTTGAGGGTCATCATCACGCGCTATGTCAATATCCCCGATAGCCATAGTGGACAGCAAAGCTTGCAATGGCACACTAGCACCATCATCTTTGTCGCCCATGTCATTTTCGATCATAAAACAAGGAGCCATTAGTCCTGAGTGCATTGGGAAAGGAAGAAGAGGAAGTTGCAACACAACTTGAAGAGCATCATCACGCGTCATGTCAGCAGGCTCAGCTTCCATGGTGAAGACCAAAGGCCCCAATGGGACAGCAGTACCATCAGTATCATCATTGACAATGTTGGACAGAGTTCTGGGACTAACAGGTTTATCAAAATTCCTACTTATTGAAGGGGAAAAGTGATCAAGTGTACATGTACTTGTTTCACCACAATTAGTTTGTGTTCAAGATCAGTTAAAAAAGGAGAGGTACATTATGTTGACGAAGGTGACCCTGAGAGAAGCTTGCACGCAACCAAATGTTGCCTTTTATGGCAGCGGTGTTTTATTTCTCTCACGGGCTGGGACCCAGCCTGGCCTGTGCTTCGTGAGTAGTTAAATGTCACCCCCTTAATATTCTAAATCCTTAGACCAATGTTGCCGCCATCATCCCCATCGTCATCTCTATTTCAAACAATTGGATCATTCGCAATTGATTCAAATTGTACCAATCTCAACGCTCATAATTTACAAAAAAAAAAAAAAAAATCTAGTGACATCAAGCCATCAGGACACATCGTCATCACCAACATCCTACAACCTGTATATTGAATGCCTGCCAACTTTTAGCAAAAATACTGTAGACAACCCATTCCTGGGGTTCCCAATTCTAGGACCAAGGCGAATAATAACTTGAGGGAGGAGCATGGGATAAAAGAATCCAACTCGGCCGTAAATCGTTATCTTAAAGCCTCCAATTGTTATTGGGATAAAGGCGTAAGGAAAGCAATCATGCACGACGCCTCATAAAACGTGCACTATCGGTGCAAGTACTTGGCCGAACGCTTTCTAAAATCAAGATGGTTGAGGGCAGATTAATACCGCTACGATCCAAAGTATTTCTTGACGAAGGCTACTACCACATTAGTCATTCATCAACAAACCGATGGGTTGAGCGTAGCGGCGATCCTATACAAGAACAATCCCGCCAATCACTGTTGGTAATGTTTGCTGTGATTGTGGTAATATTACGACAAGAATAAAGGGGAAACGGTTGGAAAATCCGTGAACGATAGCGTTCACATTTGGCCAGCACATGGAAAGGGACCCCTCTAAGCGAGAACAGCTCAGAAAAGCTGATCAAGAGACGATATGCGGGACGATCGGAATATCCTTGCAGACTACGATTACCATGGATATTTCAATCATGAGTTGTTCGAAGCTTTGTTCGAGAAGCTTTGTAAGACTCTTGTGGAGATGGGGTTCAGCCCTAGCATCATTTATATGGATGGTGCCAAATACCATTTTCATTCCTCCGACAAGAAACCAAACTCTCTTAGTTGCAGGGTTGAGATTATGGATTGGCTGAGATCCCATAATAAAGGGATACCACCAAGTGCACAGGGACATGGCTTTAAGCCATCAAAGGCGGAACTCCTTGAATACATTAAATCAATCGAGCATCAGCCGAGGTACACTGTTTAGAACATCGCATCTAAAAATGGTGGTCATTGGATTATGAAGACCCCGCCCTATCATTAGGAGCCTCAGCCCATTGAGACTATTGAGGGAGTTATCAAGAATATACTATACAACACTCTTGGATTGATGACTGCCGAAACTCTCATTATGATGCTGGAGATGTTCTTCATGAACCTTCCCAACAGGATCTTCATCTCTGAGTGGAATAAAAACCATCAAGTGCGGCGAAAAATATTTGATCGAGCGTTCTATGCCAAATGAGTCTTCTACAGCCGACTCGGTGGGACAGGATGGAGAAGATTTACTCCACATTTTTCGCAAATAACACAATATCTCCAAAACCCTTTGATTTTAGAAAAGGCTGAATAAGTTCATACAGTTTATTCAATTATTTTTACTATTGCTGAGATATCCACTATTCTATGCTGAGTCATGATTTGGTTAGCAACTTATCCGAGGATGGTCATTACTTTGATTTCCCGGACTGTGATGGGGATCGCTGGATAAAAGTGGAGGGCCGCTTGTCACTGCACATGTACGATTTTAAGGGCCCTAAGCATTACAAAGTAAACTGATTATTAAAATCTATAGCAATCCGACATGGACATTGAAAGATGCAGATAACAACCATACAGTTGCACGACGGGCATTTCAATGTCTCTGTCGACTGTACTCGATGATAGACGCGTTCTATTCCAGGACTTGAAACAAACAACGGCTGAAAGAAACACGGTTAGTCCACGTGCACCAATGCGCTTTCGAAATAAATAAATAAATAAAAAAGCACCTACAAAATCCACATTTCTATGTAAGGTAAGGGTACCTTACAATGAATATACGAGCATTCAATTATGAAGAACGACGACTTTTGTTGCTGAACTCAAGCTTGGAGAAGAGAAGAGAAATGGAAAGCATTCTCCCAGGTGTGCCGACGGCTGGGAAGCCTGACATCTAAGCTACGGAAAAAAGTGAACATGGGATGCGCGGTTGGCTATAAGCTTGTTTAGCCCAATTGGGACTAGTTAACCAACAATTAACCTGCGTATTAAATTAAAGATTGAGATTGCAAGACTTAGCGATGATTACCTACGTTTCACCCCCAGATAGAGGTGTGAAAGCTCCGTGATGATGGCATGGATTCGATTATGGGATAGAAGAGATAAGAAAAAGGAATGTGTCGGCTGAATAATGCCTTACAAATAGCGAACCCTTGGAAGGATATTACATTTCAGTGGCGACGTGAAAAGAGAGCCCACAACATTTTTTTTTGTATTCTATGATGATAATTCAATCTTTTCTCGTTTCTGGCCATTAATTCAATCAATATATATCTCTACAATATGTTCGCGACCAAATGGGTTCAAGTTGCTCTATGCTTCTAACATAAGCTTTATTTTTTTTTTTTTTTTTTTTTTTTTTTCATAAAAAAAAAAGAGCAGAGTGAATGTGTCATGCGTATGAACTGGGGGAATGGGAAGCTCTAATAGCGGCTCAACGGTTTTATCTCAGCTGCTATGCATCATTGTTCTTTATCATCAAGATTTATTTCCTATAGAACCAAAATAAGAATAACGAAATGGCCATCATTGCTGTAGTCTCCACATTTGGGTATACAAACTGATCAACATTTTTAGCACTTCATGTCCGCCCTAGTCTTTCCAGATCTTCTACATCCTTTTGAACATTTGCTATGATCTCTGCTTCCCGTCTCTGACGTTCACTTTGTAAGGCCGCTTGGTTCTGGAGCCTTGAAAGCTCACTAATTGGTATCACAACGACAGGTTCACCACTTGTTGTTTGAAGGCTCGTGTTTGAAGAGAACTGAGTCTCATACCAAAATCCAGCCATCAATATCGATACGGCCGACACAATGCTTAGTGCCATTAGACTGGGATTGGCATAGAATGATGTTCCTAGAGATATCCCGACCAAGGAAACTATGAAGCAAATAGTGATAGTCACTCTCACACAACAGATCGTTCCTGGGCTGTAAGGCATTCTCAATCTGCATTTTGATCGTGTATAAGAAGAGAAAGGTATATACGTTAATGTCAAGACCGTACTGCAAAAGAGTTCGCTTCCGTAGCTCTGGGATAAACAGCTAAGGTGTATGTAGTGCCATTGCTTGTGAGTCGAATATGCTGAAAACAACAGAATAAGGAACTCTTTTTTTTTTTTTTTTTTTTTTTTTTGGATATTAGGTATTCAGACTGAGAAACATTCTACACCAGGTGTGTGTATGAGCTTTAAAATGAGGACATGGGCTAGTCAGGCACACAAAGAGCAAAATAGGAGGAAGAGGGCTGGAGAGAAGAGAAAAGGACAGGGTTTTCACCTTGTTTGTGCCTGTAAAGTACTGAGGATAAAAAAAAGATAGAAAAGAAGAGACGGAGTTAGGGTGGGGACAGGACAGAGACCTTTTATATAAATATGGATATTGGAGGACTTTCCGACTTGCTAGAGCCTCGGACCCAAACATTCGATGGACAAATCGAAGCAAGGTAGAGGGCACGTCAGCAGATTTCCTCTCGCTCTTCCTTTTTCTTTTTTTCAGATGAAAAGGTCAGTGCAGAAGATCTACAGTTTTTGTTGCTCCGAGGCTCAAAAAATGGATTGCTCTGGACCAAATATGCAACAGCAAACAACATCACTAATGCATACTCCTTTTGAAGCAGACTGTACGTATCTTAATAAGGCAGACCATTCATTATTCATCATACTCATCTCACCCATGCTCGATAGACAATTTATCTATTATTGCTGTTATTGTTATTATTATCATTTTTATTTATTTGTTTTTAATTTCATCTTTGTTTATTTTTTTTTTTGACACAACATTTCCTATGTGTCTCGTCTAATGTCGTTGTAACTGAATGTGGACAAGGAAGCGGTCTTTGTAGTGCGGCAAGGAAAGAAATCCTTCAAAAGACACAACAGAATGTACACATGTAATAAGCCTAAACAGCAGTTAGAGCTTGATGATGGTAATTCTATGCAGAGAGCACTTTAGCACTTTATTCTACAAGCAAGTGAAGGATGCTGCAGAGAGCCTTTGAGGCGCATATGCGATATCTGGTAGGGCTCGAAATACTCAATGTCTTTATTCATATTGCTGTCACTTTCGATCGCTAGATCACATTCATCTAGAGAAACTAAACCATGGTTCCTACTAATCAAGGTCAATAAGGTACAATTCTGCAACTTGGTGATTGTTGCCGCTCAATCATCAACGGACCAGAATCTCGTCGTTCCACTCATGTGCTTGGAATATAAACCGCGGGACGGAAGTGTTTTCTTTTTTCTTTTTCCTTTTTTCTTTTTTCTTTTTTCCTTTCTCATTTTCTTTTTATCAAGACTCTATTGACTGGACTCGCTTATAGTTGACAAGCAAGATGCTTCCCAATATACGACTCCAAGCCTTTGGCAAAGACTGGTGTCGCTTCAAAAACTATCTGGGTCATCATGATCCAACACACCAGAATCGGATTTACCGATAAAAAGCAAGAAGTATGGCCGACTTTGGTTCCGTAGCTCTTATAGAGAAATGAGATGAACACTGGAACAAGGACGCCACCAGCTTTGGGAGAGCTAGCTTAGAACCTTTCATCACTGAGATGTTGTATAAACCTCAGATTGCTCCTTGATACTAAAGCCGTTACGGATGTAGACCTTGTTACCATGGTAGATGATAGCTGTGCCATCACGAGCTGTCAATAGAAGAATAGGCAGAAATGACGCTATGCCAGTCGAGATTAATCATTTAAACCAGTTCATTCAGACGACACCACAAGGAATCAAGTGGTAATCGTATATGAAATATGAAATACAATTAAGCATCAGCTCAAAGAGGAGAGAAAAGATTGCTTAGCTGAACATCCTTCAAACGTAAAGATATTAGAGTTGCCTTTAGAGGTGGTTGCTACCATCGTGTGAAGGGAACGTGGCTCTGCAAGCTTCCATTATTACTAGCCTCGACGATCACCCCATTTCTGAGAGATAATGTCAAGAGAGTAAAAAAGCCAACCCTACCACAGCCGTCAACGAAGTATGGACCTTACTTCCAGCAACAGACAGCATGATAATAATATGCGGTGCGTTGATTTTGTGGGTGGAATGAGCTGTCTATGGTATGTTTGTTAAAAGTTGTCAAGCATCCAATAAGTGAGGGTATAGGATGTTGGTAATGAGATTTGTCAAGAATGTAAGGTTGATTATAGATCTATCAATGTGTGACTGATAGAGAACGAGACGAATGATTGAGGATGATGATGATGAGAATGAGGATGGGAATGAGGATGATTGAAGCTGACTGACGATGATTGGTGATTGGCTCAGAGTCCTGATGGCCACAAACATTACATGCATGTTCATGTTACTTGCATAGGATTGCGGCTTCACTTTTCTGCAGCATCGGTCTTGAATTGAGCGAGCTCAAAAAAATATCTACATGAACCTACATACCTACATGTACTTTGGATAGCGAAGACGACAAAGGAAGTCTTACTGTTGAAATAAAGTTTGCTCTTGGCTACCACTCTGCCTTCGGCTTAAGATCTTTTCAAAATTCTTGCCGTCAACAGCCACGCGTATGGATTCTGTGATTAACATCAACTGAATCTGGTTTTTTTGTTGAGAGCAAACAAGAGGCTGAAGAACTAAAATCTGTTAGCACTGTGCTGTGTTCTTGATATTTTTTTATTGTGCCTTTGATATATGTTCATGTTCACTGTCAGATAATTCCTGGTTGGCGAAGCGACTACCAAGGACCTACCTATAAATACAGATCTGTTGCTCCATCGTATTCACACCAAGCATTCTTCTCCACAAACATCTTGCAATCATCATGCCTCGACGTTTCCCTTCAGTTCTAAGAGAACTACCAGGCCGGAATCTCAATCAAGTTGGACCAGATCTACAACCCATTCCTGCTCCCCTTGTCGTCCTGGTCGGAGATAGCGTGGATAGCAATAGTAACGGCGTTGCTGTTCCACTACAACCATTGGTTTTTACCATAAGGGCCGAGATAGTCGATACCACGCGCGACAATGAGCTTCAAATCGTACTGCAGTCTCCCCCTCCTCCGTCCTCCTCTTCTTCCCTTCCCTCTTCTTCCGTCTCAAGGACCTAGCGATAACATTGAAGACACTCTCGTCTTCCTGATTATTCTTCTTACAAGGCGAGAATAATGCTACGATGGATCAAGGCTAAATTGGATGGATATGGATGGCCATCATACCAAACTCAGCTTTGTTACAACGCGACACCTTTTTTTTTTTTTTTTTTTTTTTTCCCCCTTTTTCCCTATATCTCCTCTGTTCATTGATACCCTTATTTTGTACGCCTTTACATCTTTCAAAACTGTAAAAGAGGTAAGTTATCGCCATGTTAAGCGCTAATTGACCTTGCTGGCTGTTCATTTACCATCTTTTATTAACACTTCGTTTTCATTTTCATTTTCATTTTTTTTTTTTTTTTTTTTTTTTTTTTGGACTAACTGAAGCAATTGAATAATAAAATAAATAATTAATAAAAATGAAAAATAAAGAGAGCGAAGTCTTGTTGAATGAAGGATATCAATGCTCAACATTTGAGGGACGCGAAAAGAAAAAATCCGTTGGCCAATAAGATGAGCAAAACTAGAGACGAGGAAGAAAAAAGAGAAAAAGCAAGATCTGGAACGAGGTGATGTAAAAACCAGGGTATCAATGAGTAGGGGGGAATAGAAGGGGAAAGAGAAGGAGATATAACGAAAGGGGATACAAGGAAATGAAAGAAAATGGAAAGAAGTGAAAAGAAATGAAGGACGTTCTATATCACCAAGCCCAGTTTAATAAAGTCGGTCGTCCAGGGAGCTTGTACAGAAGAAGCTGTATCAACAGATGCCACCGTTTCTGCTCTGCGGAAAGGGGGAATCTGGAGGAGGATGAGGCTGCATTTCGACTTGGGAACCATCGTCATGCGTTATGTCAATATCCTCAATCGTCATAGTAGATAACAAAGCTTGCAATGGCACACTAGTGCCTTCACCTTGGTTGTCCATGTCATTTTCGACTACATAGCCAGGAGCCATTAATTCTGGATGCATTGGGTGAGGAGGAGGAGGAGGAGGTTGCAACACAAATTGAAGAGTATCATCGCGCGTCATGTCAGCAGGCTCAACTTCCATGGTGAAGACTAGAGGCTCTAATGGGACAGCAGTATCATCAGTATCGTCGTCCACGTTGTTTTCAGCTGTGAGAAGAAGGGAAGGGAGAATAGAAATGACTTGTAGATCTAATTGACCATGATCGGGGATTATGTCTGGCAGTTGTCTTGGGGGTGAATGGAATCGTCGAGGCATGATGGGTGAAAGATGATATGTGGAGGGATGAAGGGTAGATCAGACATATTTATAGGCTGTCTTGTATTATACTTACCAAATAAATTATCAGGCAGCGTAGGATATGCATTGTATGTTATGCTCGAACTTCTATGTGATTGAATTGATTTGGTGGCTGATTTTGACATTTCGCTCTCCGCGACAAACTGGTGCAAAGGAATATAATGGGTCCCAATTCAATCAAGATTATTCAAAAAATCAGAGATATCGGTATTTAGTCAATTATAAGCCTACCACTTAATAAACCTTTTGTAATTGATAGCGGACTAACCAAAAATGGCAGCGGTAAGACATTGGTATGGCTCTGCTGAAAAAAACATATGAATCACTGACAAATTGACCAAACGGCACGGAGTATATGTATATGCATTCAACTGTGTATGAAAATGCATTCAGCTGTGTAACACCTCGCCAGGAAGTACATGTACATTTAATTCAAAATTTTTTATTTTAAATTGGCTGGCAAAGGGTGAAAAAAAATCAGCCAATTTAAAATAAAAATTTTGAATTAAATGTGAATATAGCGCACTGATAAAATCCACATTTTGCAAAACGACGGGATAGTAAACTAATATATTTGCCACGTTTTTAAATCGAATAGAATAGTTCCCTTTTTGGACAAAAATATGCACTTTAAAGATGCATCTATTCTTGCTACGCCAGATTTCCAGAACCACTTGAGCTGGTGCTTAGACCCCATTGATAGTTTGATCGATTGAAGTTGATTGATATCAGTCTTATTGATCACGCCGTATTTCTCTGCTGCCAAGGGTTAAAAGTTACGTCTTTATAAACTTCCTCTTTGAACTTTCTCACTCCCCGCCCACATCCTCTCCCACCACAGTCTATATCTGTAACCCCTCTTCTGCATTATTCTCACAACCATATGCTGTAGTGCTCCTCGATGGCCCCAACAGGCTTCCAAACGGAAGCTGAGGTTATGCGTAAGTCTTAATTTTCTACAAGATGATAACAAAACACAGGAAACCAAAAGACTTTAATGAGATATACTACAAGATATTTCCCTATTGAAGCCTTCTTTTTATTTTTTATTTTTTATTTTTCATAAACAACAGACTCGGAATCGCTCAGGCGAGGGGTCGTTTCCAGAGCCATAGCTTAGTGCTCTTTTGTAGCATAAACCGACGTGTCGCCATCATCCATCCATCCATCATATCCATCAAACACCTGTGCACCTTTGCATCTTTATACCTTTACAACTGCTCTTTTAAAGCATTATACAAACATTATGATTTTATTCTCCTCCTCTCGTCGTTCCTACCTACCCGATCATTCTTTGCTTGGCCACTGAAAGGTAACTTATTAATTTCCTTTCTTTCTTTCTCTCTTTCTCTCAGGATTTTCCCTTTCAAAGTTTCATATCTTCAACAAATGTATAAACAATTTGTCATTAATAGCCTGCTTCTTTAGCCTTAGTAGCTTTAGCAAAAGCTTTCGCTCTTCTGCTCTACCAGGCAGGGGACGGCTATAACAGTGGTGTTCAATCTACAGGCTTTTCATGCTATGTACCCTTCAGAGTGCCATGTGACTTCTCTTTTGATGACATAAAGTAATGATTAGAAAGTGTGCAGCATCAGTGATATCAGGTTTAATATTAAAATGTTGCTAACAATTTATACCATGTCTCCACCATCTATCTAGTGGTGTTACGAATGTTTTCAGGCCGGGCACTAGAATGGAAAGAGAAGGACCAAGGCTATCAATTAGAGTCCATGGAACACTTTGGCCATCTCAACCAAGATACTGTAACCAAAGCGATATCCGCCACAAAAAAAAAAAAAAAAAAAAAAAAAAAAAGGCCCGCCTATCGTTAGTGTTCCTATGGTGTACTCTAATACAAAATGCATCCTGCTACACCACTAATGCGCCAGGCCAGGAACTACTGTCAGTCAATTGCACCCTCGTATTCCTAAAAGATGTCGGGGTGCTATTCGAACCTCTAAGGTTTTCCAAGAGCACCATAAGGAGGTAGCTTGGACAAGTCATGCTGCGAAGCACAATACGACAAGGGCAGCAAAATAGGCAGTTATCAGTACAAATGCATCCATTTTGAATTCATTACCCTGCGGTGTAAAAGGTATAGCTTTTTTTTTTTATTTTATTTTTTTTTATTCTATGTTCGTTTTAGGTGCTATGGTCAATGATAGATAACATCGCAGGATTGAGAGGAAATAAACTGACACTCTGCTTTAAAAATATTAATTAATCTTCAGCATTAGGGCATGGAGAATACCAGATACCCTTGCGACCTTAGGAAGTTTTGCGCAGGGTATTGACTGCATTGTAAAGACTTCCTCGGTCTTTCATGAGCAATTGAAATTGCTGTCGACGAGGGTTGCAAATAAGAGTGGAAAAACAAAGGACCACTTTCCCTCTATCATTACCCCTCATGCAAAGAGTGCTTTAAAACAATGAAGCTATTTGCATCTGTATATAAATGTATCATGTATTTTAGTGTATTAACTATAACAAACCTCAATAGATAAAATAAAAATAAAAATGCAACATACTGGGCATGGTAATGTCAATGGAGTTAATCTATTTGACAATCAGGGTTGTCACTCTTATTTGGCAGCCCCTTCTAACTATTTTACTCAATTTTTTTTTTGCGTGACAACCTTGGTTGCCAAATAGTAAAATATATGATTTGACAACCTTGGTGTAACCACAGTCATGACAATGGAGTGTTGCCACCATTTTAGAAATCGCATATTTGTCCCAGCTGGAAAGGTTGCTGAAAGGTTGTCATGTGACGGGTTGTCAAATAAGCCTATGTGACTACTAAATTAAAGGGGTTGTCAAATAGATACACCTGAAACAAATCTAAAAAACGCGTTCATCCTCTTTCTCACAAATACGCTTCATCGTTCCCCTACCTGATTCAATATTACTTGATCTACACTTGACTACTGAAAGGTAAATTATTACTTTGACTCTCCTTCTCCTCCTCTCTCTTTCTCTCAGTAATATCCCTTTCAAATTTTTCTTCCTTTTTTATTTTCCAATATTTCTCATTATTTTCCTCATTTTAACATTCAAACAGATGCATAAACATCTTGTCATCAGTGGCCTGCTTCCTTAGCTCTAGCAGACTTAATGAGAGTCAGTTTTTACGGCTCTTGTGGTTTGCCGGGCGGGAAGTGGCTATGACAATAGGTGGTCAATCTAGAGGCTTTTCATGGCATGTGCTCTCTTGGGCGCCATGTGGCTTCTCTTTTGATATTGTACTTGTGTCGTGCATAAACATCCTGTCATCAGTAGCCTGCTTCCTTAGCTCTAGCAGACTTAATGAGAGTCAGTTTTTACGGCTCTTGTGGTTTGCCGGGCGGGAAGTGGCTATGACAATAGGTGGTCAATCTAGAGGCTTTTCATGGCATGTGCTCTCTTGGGCGCCATGTGGCTTCTCTTTTGATATTGTACTTGTGTCGTGCATAAACATCCTGTCATCAGTAGCCTGCTTCCTTAGCTCTAGCAGACTTAATGAGAGTCAGTTTTTACGGCTCTTGTGGTTTGCCGGGCGGGAAGTGGCTATGACAATAGGTGGTCAATCTAGAGGCTTTTCATGGCATGTGCTCTCTTGGGCGCCATGTGGCTTCTCTTTTGATGTTGCATTTTTTTATTTTTTTATTATTTGTTTTTTTATATTTATTTATTTAAAAGTAATGACTGCTTGACAGTTAACGATTTACGTATCTCAAGTCTATACTATTTTTTTCTAGGATGTTGCAAGCGTTTTTAGACTGGGCTTTGGAATGGAAAGGGAAGGAGCACGTCTATTTGCCAGAGTTCGTGAGACATTTTGGTCTCCTCAACCGAGATGCAGCAACTAAATCTTTCCAGGAGCTCATTCAACATTCTTGTATTCCTAAAAAACGTCGGGATGATATTCAAGAGGCGTATAGGTTTTTTCAGGAACACCATAGGGAAGCGTTTTGGGCAAATCGTGCTATGAAGCACAGTACAACGATGACATCAAAGCAAGCAGTTATTAGTACAAACGCAATCATTTCAGCCAGTTTAGATTCAATATCTCGTGGTGTGAAAGGTATTTTTTATTCTATTCTATTATATCTTTTTTTATATCCCTTTGGTGGCTATGATCAATAATAGATGGTATCGCAGGAATGACCTGGATTAGAAGAAACGCTGATCGAGATCGAGCAATTCCCAAGTTGATATTATTTAATATTTAAAAACCTCAAATAGAGGATGATACGTTGAGTTTTGTTGGTATTCCCGCGATCAAACTCACTGCTGATCAAGAAGGTTCGTACTTGTGTTACTATTTATTATTGTCATTATTGTCACCAATGCTATTATTACTAATAATATTATTATTTATAATCTGAATGACAATATATATATTGCAATCCAACTATAAAGAATCCAGTCCAGAAGCATCGTCGCACCAGCCAAAGAGACGCAGGGAAGAATCCAGTGATTCTCTGGCCACAGAAGAAGATCCTGTTGACCGTCTATTAATGTGTTTACCACAGCCTATGTCAGCTATCTTAGGATCGCATGGCTGGACGTTTGTTGCTGCTGAAGACGGCCTTGATATTGGCGCAATGTTTGGTAATTACTATCGAAAATGTGCCAATTCTGTTTTTAAAGCTAGCTATCCTGAGGACGCACTAGCTTTAAATGCGACGCTGCTAATAAGGGAAGACCCAACTCCTCTTCAGCTGGAGTGTTTTGGTGAAGAGTTTTTCGAGAGATTAAAGAATCGGTTTAAAAATCGCATACCAACTATCGAAATTTCAAACGAACGAACACTCATTAGGAACTGGATGGATAACTTAGTAGACAATGAGTGGGACAGTGATATTACCTTGAATCATTTGGAGAACTCCAAGGTGACGGTGAAACTTTGTCCACTGAAAAGATATCTAGTTTATGCCTTATCGGAATTTGAGCATTTTCAGAAGCCATCCTATAGTGAGGCTGATGGCATATCATCGTTCCTAATGCCGCTGCTGCGCAAATTCTACCATGTCCAAGGCAGCGCTAGACTCGCATACACAAATAACTCGTCCAGGACCAGTATATATCACAGACGAATCCTTGACTTGGAAACCAAAACATGTGGCCAGCCCGACCTCACAACAAGAAGTAAAAGGGATATCGAGCTTTTTTTTGCAGAGGCCGCAGGAGTGATGTGCCATGATACATCGAAGCAAGCTGGAGATTTGGTCCGACTTGGAGTATATGGAAAGAATGCTATTGATCAAGTGGACGACATCTATGACACATCAATTACTGTCACGTTAGCACATGTTGTTGGCCGTAATGTCACGATGTACATACAGTTTCCATTAGGGACAATGTACATCATGTTAAAAGTTGGAGCATGGAAAATACCAGATTCGCTAGAGACCTTAGGAGGACTTGCACAAGATATTGGCTGCATTGTGAAGACTTCCTCGGTCTTTCATGAGCAATTGAAATTGCTGTCGACGAGGGTTGCAAATAAGAGCGGTAAAACAAAGGACCACTTTCCCTCTATCATTACCCCTCATGCAAAGAGTGCTTTAAAACAATGAAGCTATTTGCATCTGTACATATATATGTATCATGTGTTTTAGTGTACTAACTATGACAAATCTCTATTAAAAAAATAAAAATAAAAATAAAAAAATGCTGGGAGCATACTGGGCACGGTATTACCAAAGAGAGTCTTTAATAATCGCGCGTACAAGGAATGGCTGCCGAACTTTGTGTGACATTTAAAAATTCAAAAATAGAGCAGATCCTTCCGCCATGGAAATCTGGTTCTGCGTTTTTTTTTTGTTGCTGACGGAGAGACGGAGAAGGAACAATGTCGGCAATGCTAAATGTCTTGTCATATCGTGTGCTGATGAGAGTAGTGAGTTATGGATAGATATTGCTTCCTTCCACTGGGCTGAATGTTGGTTCCACAGATGCAGCCCCCTCTTTTCCTTAATTTTTTTATTGATTTATAAAAATAGTTGCAATTGACCCATCCCCATTGGCGAAGCACTGATTTCTTTAATTTGCCATGAAAATCTTAATAAACAAATATAGAAAGTCAACGCCACGATGAGCTTGTTTTGAGGGCGATCTTTAGAATAAATGGAAGATCTAAAATGTGAGACTTACACTTAGAAAGAAAGAAAAGAAAAGACGCGTGTTACTTTTTTTGAGTACATATATGTATATATGGAGGGTACTACAGAACAGAATCGCGATTAAGGGAGAGGATGATCTGAGAAGAATGGGATCCAGATCGACCAGTTTTTCTCATCTCTGTCGGTTGGTAATTGCTTCTTATCACAAAAATGTGTCATTAGTTTGTCCTACAATACATACAATACAGTACAAGCAAGTAAACAAGAAAAAGAAAAAATTGAATTGGCGATAAACACACAGATTTTCAAAAGAGCGGAACGCGGAACAATGATTTGTTTTTGCTATTACTTTACGCGTAATTTTGCTGAAAAAAAAAATAAAATAAAATAAAAAATAAAAAATAAAAAAAAAGCTGCTTAGTTATGATACTGTGAGATTAGCGATTGGCAAAAGTTTTGCGAGCATTGGAAAGGACTTTATTATTGTAAGCTGAAGATTTTTTTTTTCCTTTCTTTCTTGTTCAATAGATATGGTACTTGACTTTATTGTGATTTGAATGATCTAACATGAGCTTGAATTGATGCACTACGCGTGCAAATGATTGTAGAGTGGATCAGAGACGGGAAAGGTGGGGGTATCGAAATAACTCTAAAAAAGCAAAAAAAAAAAAAAAAAAAAAAAAAAAAATGCCGTCGTGATCCTGAGGAGGAGAAGAAGAAGAAGAAAAAGGAGAATGCGGTTCTTTTTTTTTTTTTTTTTGCCAGCACGACTTGAAGACTATCATTGCGCCTAAAGATCAATGGCCTCGGCTTCCATGGTAAAGGCAGGTGCAACTGGCACACCGACATTGCCATCCTCAGCATTATTATCGTTCTCCGCCACAATCACGGTCGGATTTGCTTCTGGTTGAGGTCCAGGCTGGGTAGGAGGAGGAGGAGGATTAGGTATAACTTGAGGACCCTGTTCAGCTCCATTGGGGACAACATTTGGCTGATTTCTCAATGTTGAAGGAAATCTTCGAGCCACCATGTTTCTTGCTATTGGGCGTTTTTTTTTTTTTTTTTTTTTTTTTGATGTTTTAGATAAGAGAGATCTGTAGAGTCTTCGCTGTTGTTCTTGTCGCTGCTGTAGTTGTAGCCGTAGTTGTAGTTGTTGGTAGTTAAAAGTTTGCGTGTTTAGGCATTGCTTTTATACGCGTGCCAAAGAAAACAAATTGGATGCCGATGTTATTCCCAACCTTATCATAACCAAATGAAGCGGGCTAGACAGCGTTGGAGAGGATCTATCCTAAGCGGACTATAGTTAAAAAAATGATTTATTATCTATGCCTTTAATTAAGCCCTTGATGAATATCTATTTCTACACGAAACAATAATAATATAAGGGGTGGAGAAGTGGGGGAGGGGGAAGGAAGAACACAGCAGGAGAACGTCATGATGGCGTCTCCCTAACTTTTCACACGAATTGAGTTGAAGGGTAAGGGAGGAAGGAAGGATTGTCAAGAGGTGAAGAAGATAGAACATTGGCACAACATTGGGACTATATTGGGACATTGGACTGCAATGACAAATAAATGTTACAAATATAGTTGCAGATGCAATTTTGTTCTAGTTTTAGAATAAAAATTAGACTTTTTTTCTTCGCCACGCTATTTTAAAAACATTTTGTTTATAGACCCTTGTTCTTGTTCTTGTTCTTGTTCTTGTTCATATTATTCTACATGTTACATGTGTATACATCGATGATCACTCTTTTGATCGCGTGTGAAAAAAAAAAAAAAAAAAGAATATCTCTTCCTCATCCACTCATTCACAGGGCGAAGAAAAGTAATTAGATAGGGTATATAGAAAGAACTGCATCGTACTTTATTTAATACTGTTAAAATACTTGCAAGCTATTCCTGTTCGTTTTGATGTGGTTTTCTTTTATATCATCTTCAGCAAGTAATTACTCTTCCCGTAAAAAAAATAAACTAATTTAGAGAGAGTTCTTAACAGCGCTGGCACGCTTAGCCATCTTGATGTTGGACTTGAAGCCCATGACTCCACCACCCCAGAGCTTGCGAGCAGACTCGTTCTTCTCAGTGTAGTTGGACTTGATAGCAGAGATCAAAGAAGAGAGCTCAGACTTGTCCTCAGCACGGACCTCAGTGAAGGCAAGGGCAGTAGCAGTCTTCTTGTGGACGACTGTTCCAAGACGGGCCTTACCCTTAACAATGACGTATGGGATACCCATCTTGCGGCAGAGAGCGGGCAACCAGAGGACGAGCTCAATGGGGTCAACATCATCAGCAATGACGACGAGGGAAGCCTTCTTGGCCTCAACCAAGGCAGTGATGTGGTTAATACCATACTTGATCACATAGGGCTTCTTGGTGTCGGCCTTCTCACCCTTCTTCTCAACCTGAGCAGCGGCAGCAGCAGTCAAGCGCTCCTTCTTCTCAATGCGAGTCTCGGGGCGGTACTTGTTGGCGAGCTTGAACAACTGGGTAGCAGTGTTCTTGTCCAAGACCTGGGTGAACTGGTTCAAAGTTGGGGGAACCTTGAGACGCTGATTCAAAATCTTGCGCTGACGCTGAAGGCGAACATATTCAGGCCATTTGACATAGCGAGAGAGGTCCCTAACAGGCTGGATGTCCTGACCAACACCAAAGTTCTTGGGGGTCTTCTCAATCAAGGGATTGGTTGGGGCCTTGGAAGCGGACTTCTTGGCATAGGGGGAAGGAGCGACCTTGGACTTCTTAACGGGAGCCTGCACAAGAAAAATAAATAAAAAAAAAAAAAAAGGAAATATAAATTTTAGGATCTGGTATAGGTCATGGAGAATAGAAAGATCTTTGTTGAATATATTTCTTTCTTTTATTTTGACAAAGGTAATAAGATTTAATGTTGCCTTGTCAAATAAAAGAAAAAAAAAGCTCAACAAAGTTGTTTCCAGAGCTCTAAGGAAGACAACAAACATCTTTTTTTTTTTAATGATCGAAATTCTCATCAAGCAAATTGAAAAATTAATCCAAATCTGCTAAATGATCCAATCGAATCAATAAATAAATAGAAAAAAGCAATGTTGTCCTCCACCAGTTTTCAAACACAAGAAGTATAAGAGCATCAAGCCCTTGCCATTGATTCCTATTCCTTTATATTTTTTTGCATGATCCCCATGTTCCAATGTTAACATTAGAAATGAGAATTATACCAAAGGAAGAGGATTCAATAGCACCCTTCTGCGTTATCAAAAGATAAAAACGATGGAAAGGAAAGGACTGATAGAGAAAAAAAAGAATCCTCTCATGCTCCACTGTATAGGGTAGATATGGTGGGTTCCTGAAAACGAAAAAAAGTTGAAGCTGGGTTCAAGTTATTACCATCTCGAAATTCTGCTGTAAAGGGAAAGAGAAAGAGCAAACGAATTCTGCAAAGAGGAGAAAAATTTATTCGCATCCATCCATCCATCAAAACACGCAATAGGTCAGCTAAGCCACACCCACGTGAGTATATGTTCGCATGTAAAAGCTGTAAGACTACCATTCATAAATTCATGGTGTCTTCTTCTGCTTCATAGCTAAGCGAGCTGATGCTTTGATTACCCTCCTATTAGTGATTTTTTCCAATAGATTCAGAAATATTCTACCTGGATAATAAGACGCTGGTCTGATGAAGATAGTGATGTGGCTTTTTTTTTTCCTTTTCAAAGTCGTCCAGAGATGAAGGATATGATATATTAGTTTCTTGTAATTTATTTCCATTGTAAAATCTATTCCTTCGGCAAGGAAGACCACTAATTTGCCCATGAAAGTCCTGTACTTGTTGCTGACCTGTCATGATAATCCCCTACTAACCATTGCCTTCTATTAACAATATGAATACTCAACCACGCAAGAACAAGTACATAGAGCTTATAACAAGATATTTGTTTTGTTGAGTATGATTTGATTATAGAAACAGGATAGTAAGATGTTCTCACCCTACTAGATCAATGCATACCCTCCTCATAATGAGTTGCACTATCGATACTATTGTAAGAGCCGCTTAGAATAAAATGTGCAACTTCGCACTCTCTACAATCGCTACACTTGCTGCAGACGAATTTATATCCTTTGGATCCTTCATTTTTGGCGATCAATGGCCTTACTCTGGAATCGACCCTCTGTGAATTCGTATTCAAAACATCGCTTTCTGGTATTTTGATCTCAGTTGACGTTGGTTTCACTGTGCCCCCATAGCTTGCTTCACGGGGGGCCGAACACTGCACTATATCGCCGACAGCCCCATGTTGCTCCAAGAGCTTTCTATTCGTTACACTCAAGCCAGAAACACCTTGAATCCTTGCATTACTAGCATATAGACCTGTTTGCTTCGTGCTCCACTTCAGGCAGATATTATACTGGTCAACCTCCTCTTTAATGACCTTGCCACTCTTGCTTCTGTACAACAAAAAAAAATAAGTCCGTCTCTGAACTTAATTCCAATAAATATCACATGACAATAAATATTTTTGAGCATTTGTCGCTAAGATATGCCTATTTGTGTACAAAAAGGTATATCGTTATCCATGCTGCTATAAGTAAAGTCGCTCATTTCAGACCCAATTGGGTTATCTCGACCTGGAGCCGGTAGCTGACTCCGAAGCGCAACTTTTGAGAGATGGTTTTACGTTTTCGGATGAAAGTTAATATTATGTGACCAATCTAGACAACCATTTCAAAATTAGTTTTGCAAAATTCGGTAAAAACGATGGAGCGCAATACAGTTATGCTCAAAACACATGGAACCCTCAGGATAAATGTAGTTTTCAATTTGGAATCGAACGGTGGTAAAATCGCTAGCGGTTACATAGTGAGAAAAAAAAAAAGTTATCCTAAAGAAAAAGCGACAAGGTCGCGGAAAATAGCGATTTTTCGATATTCAATGCTCATTTACTCAAGAACCACTGCATGGAATATTGAAAAGTAGGGTTTGTACCGTAGCTATAGTCGAAAAGAATGCATCTTGGCTCTATCTCTCAGGATCCTGGTGAAATAGTCCATTAAGTGTGTCAAAAATGGCATAATTTTGGTTTTTTCTGTGCTTGAAGTACTTTACACAGGTGCTACTCCATGGATACTGGGTGGATTTTCTTAAGAGTAATATTAAACCAAAGGTAATAAGCTCCCCTACTGGTCGTTCCAGTGGCGCCTGCTTCCTAGCACTCTAGCAGGAGTTACTCATGCTTAAAGTCTGACCAGTCATTAAAACCACCCAAATTTATCACAATTTTGAGTACTATCTCGTTAAATACTGAACAAATCCTTTTAATTCTTTTTTTATTTTGCGCGTATTGGTGCCTTCTATTGTATATTTTATGGGCATGCTTCCATCTTTCCTAGAAGGATAGTTATAAGCATTCTAGTACATGTACTTCATTGATGATTGCGTGTGAAATTTGATTGTGTGATTTTATGGGAGAAACTTTAAATTTAATAACACTGCCGTTGTGGCTTCTTAGTTCCGGATGCGTTGGGGATTAACGGCAAAGTATCCAGCGTATCTATTACTGACCTTAAGGTTCTTACGCTTTCATTCGACATTTTTAAATCATCAAAATTGTGAATAAACTTTCGAAGCAACTCATATAACTCATTATGTTCCTCACGTAGCTGATCATCCTCTAGTTGAATCTCAGTCTGATTAAGCTCACTCTCCTCAAGTTGATATTCACCATGCTCAACAGCCATATGTTTGTCCATGACCAAAGGCATAGCTTTCTGGGGGAGACTCAGTGGACGTTCTTCGTCATTCTGCTTGACTTTGAATAACATCAGCATATGCATACAAAGGCGGCGCCGACTAGTAAAGTATTGGCAATTACAACCTGTGATAGTGTCATTTTCATCGATGTAGAGGTTATATACCACGCCCAGTTGTTGGCGAGATAACACAATAATACCCTTCAACATGGATGACTAGACGTTGAAGCTCCTCAATATTTTTACCGTTCAGATAATTTTTATGCATGATGTCTAACTTCTCGCCTTTGGAATGCCGACCATAACGAACAACACTGCGCATTGCCAATGCCTAATAGAAGTCATCCACATCATGGCTTAGGAGATAGATCAGTCTGTCGCCTCGGCAGTTAGTATGGCCTCGTAGAAAATGGGACTTGAGGTGATTGTGCCAAGATTCTACATAATTATTGGTATCCATACCAGCATAGAATTTACCAACGCGGTATGACTTCATCCACCGTTGTCTACGTCCTTCGATGAAGTAGCGTTCTTTGAGGTACTTCCAAAGTTTCCCCTCATTGTGCTCCGACCATTTCTTTTCGAATTCAACTATCTTCTCCCCGGCGCTTAGAGGAGATGGGTCATAAGAATCGAGCGGAGTTCATTCAATGCAGATTGCCGAAGCTCCTTGCTTTGGTTCTTATCGGCTCCTCGAATTAAGGACGAGAACTTGCGGGCCCAGCTTTAATCACATGCCAGAGACACAAATGAATAGTTACATCCTTTCCAAATGCTTTACGGATGGCCTGGTATTCCACTTGAGCGTCATCAGTAGTAATGAATTCTGGAGTGCCAACCATATCCTTAATATGAATGAGCCAATTTTTCAGCGAGTGGTGGGTATGATCATTGGTGAGCAGAAAAGCGACAGGAATGGGGCTCATCCGCAGTGGATCCTGGATTATTATTGTGAATAACTCAAATTTGGATCGGTTCGTTCCATGTGTCGAGTCCAGTCCAATACACTTAAAATTCGAGCTGAATACTGATCGCTGAAAAGGAGACATGAATCCATGGGCGAATTTGCGAATTTTTGCCCATCCTTCCCTACCTTGATGGAACTCTCTGTGAAGACGGTAAAGTGCTTCTCTCTATGCAATTTTGACATCCAGAGGCTCATCGATTCCATGTCATCGTCTGATAATTTTGTCAGTTTAGACATGTATTTATGTTGAATATTATAAACATCCTCATATGTAAGGACATGGTCGTGCTGCAAACGACCTTGCTTGTGGAGAGAATATGCTTGGGGCCCGGCCAAATTAACCTTAGCAATTATTGCCCTAGTACATAGGCCAAGACGAACCAAATTTCGAATCCGTGCTCTAGTTGACTCCGTCATGGTAAGGTACTGAAAATCATCAACATTGCCTAGGACATGCCCTGTGTGTTTATAAAAGTACATGACCCGGAGTTGCTTCCTTCCATTCTTAATTGCATATTTGGGATCCTCACTGTCGTCTTTCATGTTGTGGACTATAAGTTTTGCTGTACAGCCGACTTTCATGCTAGGCTTTAAGACGCATCTCTTTTTTTTTTGCCTTGGTCCCTGCCCAGGGTCGAGAGGGATATCTTGAAGAGAGCCATGAGATGCTTTTTGTACGCTACCTTCGCCTCGTGAGTCATGTCCACGGTGGTATTCGTAGGTTTCAACATAAAAAATTTGCTTCTGCCGCCTGGCTTATTATCTTGATGTTTGCGCAGCATCCAAGCAAAAAAATGATCGCGGCCGTCTCGTTCGAGCCAAGAGTCGAAGTCCTCCTTGTCAACGTAAAAAACACGAGGGCAATAGTCGTACTGAGCTGTGCGGGTCTCTTTTACAATTCCCTCGATCGTGGCATCATCAACGGTTGACTTGATCCATTGATAGTCTTGCAATTGGGAAGCCAAAAGTTCAGTTGTTACTTCATTGATCTTCGCATTAGCCTCCTCGTTTGGCTCTGGACTTCGTGAGCCATCTGGTACGAGGGAACTTTCCGCGGTGCCTGGGTCTGCTGAAGGATGGGTGCTACTAGCTTCAACAAGAGCAGGAGGCAGCTCACGCTCTGTTTCTGGCTCGGAATCCGACGCATCACTTGAATAGTCATTAAGATCGGAATCTGACTCCTCACTCCCATAGTCGCGGTCAGAAGCAAACTCTTCTTGGTCATCATCTTGATCTGTTTCGTTTAATTCATCAGCCAATAAACTATACGCAGTAAATCCTGAGCTAGACAAAGAACGAAGTGTCAAGGAAAACCGAATTATGGCTAATAAATGCGTGAATATTAGTGTTGACAGGAAAATAACATTGCCAACATACCATAGTGTTTGTTTGAGGAAATGTGCTTGAAATGGTCTAACTAAATGCTGAAATAAATTACATTTGTTTAGCTACATTCAGAATCCATTAGTTCATTCAACACACGATGGCGAGATGCTCTTTGTGTTTATACCTGGAAAAGGTGTAAAAGAACGAAGTGAGTGTATCAATTGTTCAAACGCGTAAAAAAATAAAAAAATTAAAAAAAAAAAGGTGACGTATTAGAATCGCTTTTATATTTCCCCTTAATTCTCCCAACACACCGCTAGGAAAGGCTCTTTTTTTTTCTGTCATTTGCACCACAGGGAATAGCTTTTTTTTTTTTCCATGTCATTTTTTTTCA